ATGAAACATCGGATATGATCTCACAGGGTACGAAAACGTCCGTCATTTTGACTCCTCGAGAAAACACAGGCCTTCTAGTTGTGAAGTTTCTGCCATTTCTTTGACAGGGCTGTGGTATATGAGTTGATCAAAAAACACAGCTGGTAAATTTCATATTAGGTTAAGGTTGTCGCTTGATATTCATATTCGTTGAAACTCATAGTAGTCTAAGCGTGTTTTTTCATCTAGTGATACGTAAGTTTTAACGTTTATAAGTTTCCTACAGCGAATCACGAACACTGTAATAAATTGTGGGTATGAAATTCTACCCCATTTTATCATGCTTAGATATAACTTATTTGAATGGAATAGATTGTATATCGTAAATAACTGAATGGTAAAAACATTGCAATTATATAAATGCATGTTTATATTTTAATAACAAATCATAATCTCGTAAATGTGGATTAACAAGAAGTCTACACATAGTTTGGTAACAATTATATTTGTAGTAACAAAAATCAGTATAAAGAATGAAAATTTGAATTAGTTTATTCCTTAAGATACGCATTTAAATAGCTCAGCATGGGTTTACTACATCCTTTCCTAATTTCAATTCATCGTTTGACTCCAAATAAAATTTGTAATCCCGTTTTTTGAAAAATGATACAAAGAAGTAAACAGAAATGAAATCCGGTTAAGTAATTAATACAACACAGATACAGTATTTCGTAGTGTCTTGATGAAAAGTATATTTGTTTTTTTACATTACTCAATTATGTTCGAACTGTTTTTCTTTTGTACCTATAATTACCTGACTAACTGAAAAAAGATGGATATTAAAAGACCTGTCTTCTCTATTTCATGTACCTTCTTGCATTAACGCTTAATAAGAGTTAAAGGAAAGGCAAGAAATGTGCTAGAAACTTAATACTGATTTTTGTATTTAAATGTGAATCTGTTCCATTTTTGAAACAGACCAATTATGAAAGACTAGGTTCCTCGCTGATGTATTATAAAAAATAACCAGTGATATTTTCGTTGCCACCAAGCGGTTTAAGTTTTACTTTGGACGTAGTCTGAAACCGGTCAACATTTATATATTGACTGTGAGAGTCAATAACACGTTTGTATCCACATTCCATGGCAAGGTACTGTATGGTATCAATCGAGTGTACAATGAATGGGTCCTAAATTATATATCATTATCCATACATCCTTGCAAAACTGAAAAGAGGGTTCATGATTTACGGAATAATAAGTATTGATCTTGTTTGTTATATATAATATTTATCATCAGATAAACTGAATTAACATGAATAATAAAATCTCTCCACGGAAAATATGTATTATAGAAAATGGAAAAATGCTAATGTTAAATAGTATATGTATTTTTATCATCATTATTTCAGAACCGAAGTACATTATTTTTACAAAATATTTGCTTTGATTAATTGCACATGCCTAATGCCTATATATATATATGATATAATGAATACACTTACATACAAATAAAAAAAAAAAAAAAAAAAAAAAAAAACAGAAAAACTCCAACAATTTAAAAAAAACACTACGTGTCAAATAACATATACCTAGTATTGGTTTAATTCATCAGTAAAACTTAGGTCATTGAAATATCATTTTTGTATTATGTATATTGGAGATATCAAAATAAAGTTAATTCCAGATGAAACGGTCTAATATTTTTATTCCCTGAAAAAAATAAAAACATTCGGGCACTGTAACATTAATTCACCTATATTGACATTTATCTCATGGAAATCATACACACGTTCAATACATAAAGGCCATTCTATAAACAAGTATAGAACAATCATAATGTTAGAGATGAAATCAAATATACATAGAACATTTTGTCTCCATTGGAATATATTTTTGAGTCTTTGATAAACAGAAGAAACATTTCGATGAATTGGTATTTATCTTTTGTTTTTCTTTGTTGTGCTTGTTATATTGATTTTGAGTTTGGATTAGAACTATGCTGACATATTGGTATTTTTTTTAAGGTTTCACGTCATGAATTACGTTTTAGTGATTTCAGTATCAGACATGATGTCATTCAATGATAGTCCTATATTAGAAATTTACAAAATTTCTTCTTCAACTTATTTTTAAAGACAAAATTTAAACGTCATATATGAAATTATGGAATCAGTGAGTTGATTTGTTTCATGTTGAAGATTACATCATTGTCTTTGTTTCTCGAATCTCCTTTCTTACGGACATTTTTGTTGTACCGGAGACAGTAGCAGTTGTAGATGCGTCTTGTCTAACTTCTTATCTCTTGTTTTTTAACAACATAGTATTCGTTACATTAACAACCAGCCATATCGCCAATCTCTTTAGCCGAAAGTGTTAAAAAACAGATTATAAATTTATCTTGGTATAAATAAGCATATGTTCGAAACTCCCTTTAACAGCTGACAAGGCAGTATTTGGTTTATTATCTACCGCTAATTGTGTAATATATCACTTTTTTAAAGTTCTTACTTCAATTTACTTTCAATGTACAAAACGGGCGTTATACATTGGGTTAGGTGCGACATCATAAGTCAAAGTTGGTTATCTGTTCTATCTGTCTATCCATTCAGTTCTCTTTCCACGGTGGTCTCAGATTTAACATTAGAGAAAAACCATCACACTTTTCAGAATGATTTACTCGGAATTCACTGTTATCCTGGACTAGAGAGGAGATTTATTCCCTCGGTTATTACACAGCAATTCTCATGTGATTTCTTCTGAGGGATCGTTGACTTTGTTGTGTAACTCGGAACCATGGTACAATTACGTTTTGTATATATATCTTGTGCTTAGTATATCTAAAATAAGGTGACAACATAAACAACACATTTACCATATATGTTTTATTACATATTTCTTGTGTTTAAAAACATTCCATAAATTTTCTTAGCGAACAACTTTAGCAATGTCATTAAATGATTTCTCCACTTTTGATTTAACGAAGATAAGGAGAAAACATGATCATTACAACATTTGTCGTGTGATTAGTTTTCTCCAAATTAAGCTTAGGTAACAAATATTAATTGATAGTGGTTCATTAATTAAATATCATATCATCTCAGGCACAGATATCTCGTGAATATTGACGGTAAAAAGCGATAAATCTCAACCACGACACCGATATAAATCTACAGATATTATATTAACACAATAGAAACTAAAGGTTTCACCGTATCATAAGATAGGATGTGAATGTTTCCTCAATAAAATCAATTTAATATATCAAAACGTGTAAAATATACATTTTACTCATTTAATATTCTAAAATTTGACATTAATCTGAGTCCGAGTATGAATGGAAAATCAAACAAAAAAGTACATATAATACGTATGATGATAAAAACATGACACATAAATATCATTTTACTTTAACACGGGTTAATGATTTCTGACAATGACATGAAAAATCCAAAAATAAGTATTCAAATGTACCTGTGTATAAATTCGTGTATGCAGATAATCTTTTGCTGACAGGCACTTGGTCAAACAAGTTTGTAATTTTTCATCTTGTGTTGTGGTACTCCTTTGTGATACACACGGAAAATGATATACCTCCTCAGACGCAAATCCATAATAACGGTTCCTTTCTTGCACAGTTTAAATTCGAGACAATTTGATGTGGTAAAGGTGTAGATGATTATATACAACGGTCACATTTCCCCTTTGTCACGCTAGTCCTCACAAAGAGTCACTCTGGCTAATTCTCAAAGAGCGAAGAGAAACTTTCATTATTGCTACATTTGTTGTCCCCTGTTTTGTGGATATCACGCAGACTTTTTATAATCACACGCGATGACATATGTAATAAAATTGAAATAAAATCGTCCTTTAATGCCTGAGCTTCTCTTGAACAAGAAAAATATTAAATTAACCAATGTTAATTTCCACGAAAGCTATGATACTATTTATTATTTTTATATATTCAATCATTGAAAATCTGCACTATGCCTTCCTGCGGACTTGTTAATGAATGGATTGAGAAATATCCGTACTCTACGCAAAGAAACAAAATGGGTATGTGCGATTATTAAGAATGAACACTAGTTATACCAGTTCCCCACATAAACATGAATTGGACGTTAAACCATGGTTGCTTCGACGCCCAGAAAGGTACAAGGATGCGCCCTATGGAAATTTTATTTCAAATTACTGTTGTTTTATGTCTTAATCTTACAACATCTCCGTTGACTTAATTGACCGTACAAAATATGTTGTTTACAAATGACTGCTAACCCTGATGTAGTGTCGTAACCTTTATTGGGTGATAGTAGGTATTTGAAATTTTATCTATTATTTGTCTCTACCAACTTTAAGCGTAGCCTGAGGGAAAGAGGTATTCGACTTTCTTATTAGTGTAATTTTACAGGAAAATTATGTGAATTTTACAACGGGCTGCACCGTAAAAGTCTTCCTACCGGTCCGGGTATGACGAGTAAACGCGGTATGATAAACCGATATTACATATTCTTCATGTGGCTATCAATGTCAGTATTTGCAATAAAAGACAGATTTTGGATGGTTTGTAAAATGAAAATAAAATGCCATATTACAAAGCACCTCAGCCCATCATGCATCGTTTTCATTATAATACTGAGGTATAAACTCTCTCATCTGACATTTTGAAGGATTAAATGTTTTCCTTACAGTGAAAACAAAAGTATGCTTTAGGAGCAAACGGACCCAAGTGTTACCGATACTTTTATTGAGAAATATCTATGTCTCTGTCAGCACCTCTAGTTTATTTTATATCATTTTGGATTTATGTACAGTATATAATAGTAAAAAATAAATATTTCGATATAATGGCCCGTCAGGATAGATATGCTACACCAAAACTGTAGGGAATATCTATCCCAGTGGGTGAAGATTAAAATTTACCATAAAACGTTAATCTGTATGTTCTTATTTACCGCTTTTAAACAGGAGAGAATTAAGACCGTTGTGATACCAGTTGGTGCTCTTCATCGGTCCCGGCTCAGTGACGAAACAGAATTGGATCAACAACGAGAGGGAGGTACGACCTGCGCAGTGATACACTACTGCTGAAGCGAAATAGCATAAGTGACCAATTTTCTCCTTTCTTAAAATTCTGCATACGCGGAGTGTAATTAATATGAAAATAATGTAATTCCTGGTATATTCATATGGTATGACACGATCGCTTATTATTGGGTTTTAATATTCATAAATGGGTGATAAAATCATAAATAGAAAGAGGAGCACAAGGTCGATACATATCATCGATAGTATTTGAAATTGTTGTTTATACGGTAACTAAGAGAAAGTTCCCATTGCAATTAACTCCCTACCAGGCCATAAATCTATGTTAGAAAGGACAAGCCCAAAGAAAGGCCGTCACTGAGGATACTTCCCGTTTCTTCCTTTGGGTAATACAGATTCAGCTCTGAGAAATTTCATTTTGAAGGTTGTCAATTGACTTCCATTCACCTTGTATCATCCACCTTGCGCTGAATATCACTTCTCTAGGAAAGCATACAGAGAACTCTAGCAGCGTCTGGAACATCATCTACTCTCATATCGACGGTCCCATCGTCATCACTGAGCAAGGTAAGAGTCTGCGATAGAACGCTCTATTAAGTTTATATGATTATTCTCTTATATATACACTATATTGTCTTGATGTATGATATTTGGCAGGTATCGCTATTCCTGTAGCTAAGCATGACATACTTTTCCAGGTTTTATGGTGACTTTTATTTCTTTGACTGTTTTTTTGTATCAGCAAATAACATTCATTTGACTACAACTTTGCAATCAAAATTTGATGTCGGCCATAAGACATAGGAAAGACTCTGTTTATACATCGTCTCAACTTAACCAAGTTATGTGTAAGAAAGCCAGCATTCGGGGTACTCAAGTCCATATAAAATTGTCATTAAAATGGAGTCCCCGCATTTAACTGGAGGGGAGCTTACAAGGGACAAGCATTAGCTCAAGCTGCTCCCTATGGGACGGGCTTTATGGTAAGGGACTATTACTGTAGGGGCAGGGCTAAAACTATACAAACACCTAAAGTGAAACAACTATCAATTTTCAAGACATTACCGAGGTTAAGGCCCAGAATCTTATGTACACTTAACGATTATTTTATATGCTTTCATTTAAAAATAGAAATATAAAATGGTAAAACCAACAATTTATTTTCAGTAACTTTTATCAAGACTCACAGAGGAAATGATTGGCATGTGTGGTAAAAAAGCTGTAAAATGAAGGGGAGACCGTTTTCCTAATATTACCTCTGAACACACGGTGTTGGTGAAAATGCACTAAAACTTCTTTGCGGGATTCCACATATTTTTGGTAGACGAAAAAAACACTTATGAATAATAAGAGAAGGCTCCTATAGGTTACCACGCAGTAAATTAGTCTTAATGCATATGGCTTTAAACCGTCAATCAGACTGAAATTGAGAGCGAACGGATGTTGAAATGATATATATATAGTGCATTCATATAGATTCAATGGTCGTTTTTCCCTAATCATAGTATAAAACTATTGTTTTTACCACGATGAAATCCGTTTAAAATAGTATCATAAAATTATAAATCAGAGCATATGATGTGTTTAAATAATTTATTTGTGGTATGACGCAAAGGAAGGTATATGAGAAGAATTTTGGAGTTTTATAACATAACCCTATTGTAATGTTTGTTATGCTATATAGTCTAAAGTTATACTGAAGATCAACTATATAAATTGTTATATTAATGTCGGATAAGCCATATTAGAAAAAATGCAAGTTGAAATTATAGTTGTATGATATATTATTAGCTTACATAGTATTTATGTTTTGTGTGCTGCATTGTAGACACACACACACAAAAACACACAAATATATTCATATTTGAAATGTGTACATTGCATATATTCCCTCGTATGTTATATTAAAACAAAACGAGTAGTTTATATTTAATGCATATATAAAAAATACATAATTTGCAACAATTGTGAAATAATCATTACAAAGTAGGTCATGTTCTTAGTTTCATAAAATATTCCCCAGCTATACTGAATAAATTCTTAAAATGCATTTTTTTTTTATTTCAGTAGAGTTATGTAAAATATGTCTTATATCAAGTAATGCAAAATGATTTAATGGAATAAATAAAACAATTTCATCATAGTTGATTTTGTACTGAATATCTTTTAAGTTATTTGTTATTCAGATTTATCATCACTTTCTCTGAATAACGGTGTATTGGAAAATATTTATTCATTTGTAAATAACTGTATAAAATATCTTAGATTCGATAAATATTCTCAATTGAATGTGACTTGAATGTAATTATTATATAGTGTTGAAATTCGATAATATCGTATAAGTACATATATTTATTTTAGACGCACTGAGTACATTTGATTCTCTATTAATAATAACTCTTTCATAAATACATGGATGCCATTGAATTTATGGGTCCATGTCCGTTTACATGTTGCATCAATAGATTACTTGTTTCACGTTTCTATGCTAACATAACCAAAACAAAACATTATACATTCTGCGAAGTTAAATCTGTTACAGTCTCTGTTGAAAAGAATAATTACACCTAAAAATAATGAGAAGGAAGCCACAGTTAGAATTTCACATTTTATGTATTTAACATTATAGATAATATGAAGTAAACGGAATGTATTGTCATTTATAGTTTCTTTTGACGTTTCAATACCAGGGCGATATGTTGGTACTGGTATACAATATATTGCTGTCTTAAATGGAATAGAAAAATAGAAAAACCAACATGTGTTAAACATCATACATATGTCTGATACACTAATATACTGATATACTAATAAAGATATGAATATGTTTTACTTATTATGTATGATATTCAAGAAAATGGTGCACATGATTTCACTCAGACATTGTATGTAAATATACATAAACATTACAATTGCATGATTATGTACATATGATAACATATAATTACATAAAACGTTGATACCATCTAATTGAAATTGAAATTAAACACTGAAATTGATTTATTATTGCTAACAAACCGAGCATCACATCAAGCACAATTACGTCGGAGTAGAACAAACAAACTCAGTATAATGGTATTCCCGTTTTCCTTTCAAGTCAATCTTATCATAATGAATAAGACTATACACACTTCATGGAAACATTTTGATGACACGATAATTTAAACAGAATTTCTGTTATTAGTTGAGATTACAGCAAAATGTCATATGCACCATTTGCCTTTCCAGTGAAATTGATTTTTTAATGTTGAATTCTAATTTTCATTCGTGCTTTCTTACTTGAAAGGCATAACGGGTAATATCAGTCCTCATCTTGGAAGATGTTATACAATCATTGTTAACTTAAACATTATGTTTAAAAACATAACGCGTATTCTAATCTTAACACCGTTTCCTTTCCTATATATATACATATATATATATATATATATGAATGAACCGATTTAATATCGGTCGAGTGTTTGTTTTTCGCCATTATACTTCAGTTTAAGTCAAGTTAAAATAGGAGATAATGTGCAAACAAAATTATCAGCTGAAACAACGTTAAGTTAAAAAACATAAAATCCTATTATTAGATCTAGAAGCACGTAAGTGATTCAGTTATCTACCTTACTTTACAAGTAAATACAAACAAACTAGATACGACTTTAATCTGATAATCCTCCTGTTTATAGTTCAGCTTTCAATGAATGTACTTAAAATAAGAGACCGACAGCGCATCGTCTACTAAGAACAAAATGAGATATAAGTAGGAGACTTGTGAGATGCTGAACATGTTTTGTATACATTTGGGACAAGAAACAGTCATTTCAGAGAGTACATATCTAAAGAAATTACATTAGATATTGTTTTTTGAAAGAAAAACACATAGTGTAATACGAAGGTAAAAGGGTAGTATATAAGTTCTGAGATACTATGCATTTTAGGACGAACATTTATAAGTAATACCATATATGGATACCATAATGAAAACCATTTAGTTAGATAACACGTTCTCGATATATCACAAGGTACTATTCATATTCGTAACTGTTAAAACATAATTGATATCAGAATGGTAATGATTTTCTTTGCACTGAAGTTTATGTATCAAGCTGTTCAATATTTCACGTTTAAATCAATCCTGTTGATTTGTTACTTCTCAATTATACTGTATCAGTAGCATACTTATACTATGTGTTTTATGATTAATTGCGTCTGTTCTAATGAAATCGCAGTCAGGCAACTATTTTCAGTACAATACGTTTCATAAAAGCATATATATCTTGCCACATTTTGCCACTGTGTAGCTCCAAAAGGATTTCTCCTGTCTGGGACTAGGTTTAAAATGTGTGTGGCTCTCTCTTGTCTTCAATCTTCCTGTGCGAGTTTTTCCTTACAAATGATTTAGGGGCCTTTTACACACCATTTTCGAGAGATAGAACCTATTACGACTGTTCCGCGTTTGTATATGGATGTTCGACGTTATAGGTAAAGCCTAATGGGTAGAAATGTAATAATTGCTTTTCAGATCGTAAACAACGACACACTTCCACTGGCTAGCATCTGCGACGCTGATTATCAGTGATAACATTCTGGCAGAAGAATTAAATGTACGATAGCATAGTGAAATTAAATTGAAACAAGCCTTCAAAGAATACAGTCCAACTTAACTGTTTTTCACACACATGCCTACTCTGCACGTGTACTATATATCTGACCTCTGTTAATCGTTATAAAAATGTTTCCTTTGGAGTCATGAATATTCATATAGAATGAAAGGGAATTATGGATAGTATTTGTCAACACCTGTGTCCGAATAAATCTTTTATTAATATGTCCGTTTAACATAACGATGGTGGCGACAAAGCGCAGATCATATCAAGCGAGAAATGGTGATGATAACATTGTACATGAAAAGTTGTTGATGGTGTTCAAGTATCGATAGATAGAACAAATACACAAATATAGGTTTATGAAATGAATTTTAATAAACTCATGCCGAATCCGTTATGTCCCCTAACCAGTATTGATGTGTTGATAAACAGATAATTCTGACTAATATATATATATAAATACGGTGGCGTTGTTTAAAAGGGTTTTCTATCGTTTGATAAAACTTGGCATTCTGTTTAAAGTAAAAAAACAATAGAACAATGCTCTAGATTCATTCATTAAAAACAATATTGAAATGACGGAGTATATCAATTTATCACATTTTTCACAATGAAACATAAGATACAACGGGGGAAATATATGTGGTATCTATATAGTACTTGTTGCAGTAAATTCTGTGAGTATAACATGTTTTGTTCTCATTTTGGTAGCCGTTAGAAAGGATAACTTTGGTAGAGCTTGTGAACATATACCTTGTAAAATGGAAAGAGACATCGACGTAGTGTATTGCTCCTATATAGCCTAAATTAAAGCGTAGCATGTTTGTTTCAGTTTCTTTATTGATATATTTTATCTCGTTGGGTTGAATCTCTGATAGTTTTCACCAGAGTGCAGCACGGGTGCAAAATAGCAAAGTCTGTTCCCCATGGAGTGCGCAAACATCTCAAAGATTCAAAGATTCCACTCTAAGC